TTATCACCGTTACCTCTACCATAAGTCATAACCTTCACTTCTCATCCATAATCACTTTTCTTGAAACTAGCACCGACCAACGTATCAACGGACATAAGAGTAACGAATGCAACAAATGACACGCTGTCAGTTGAGTGGAGCTACCAGACAGTACTGAGTAAACCAGCGCAGTATTTCATTATTACTGCAACAAGAAACGATACCAACATCACAGAAGCTACAGAATGGCTTGATGTAGTATTCTGGCCAGAGGATGTGTACTGGATAACTTTGGAAGGCTTACAAGAGTATAAGTGGTATATCATTCGTGTTGCTGCTGGAAATTTGATGGGTCTGGGACCTTACAGTGATATGCTTGTTTTGAACCACACATCAGAAGGAGGTAAGAGTAGGCAGAGAGCTTCATATACAGCGAGAACTCGAGTTCAAAAGCGAAGCCAATGATGCATGTCATTGTTTCCTGATCTGCCCTCCTTCAGGAAACATGGCTAGGAAACATTGTTCTTGGTTTGTTCACCTTCAGGAAACGTGGCTAGGAAACAATGTTTCCTGGTTTGTCCACCTTCGAGAAACATGGCTTGGAAACAATGTTTTTTGGTTTGTCCACCTTTGGAAAACATGGCTAGGATTTCTGGTTTGTCCACCTTCAGGAAATATGGCTAGGAAACAATGTTTCCTCGTTTGTCCACCTTTGGAAACATGGCTAGGAAACAATGTTTCCTGGTTTGCCCACCTTTGGGAAACATGGCTAGGAAACAATGTTTCTTGGTTTGCCCACCTTCGGGAAACATGATTAGGAAACAATGTTTCTACAAAAATGCTTTCTGGTTTACTCTCTAACTTATAAATAACAACGAAATAAGATTCAAAAGAATTTATTATTTATACTTTTTTAGTTCCCTCAGCAGCGCCTAGAAATTTGACTGCACAGAATACTTCATCGCGAAGTATCTTACTTCAGTGGAAGTCAGTTTTGTACGAATATGCAGACGGAATTATCCGTGGGCATAAAGTTTTCTGGCGTTTGGCAGATATCTCTGTGGAAAACAATCCCGAACCTTGGGAAGAAATGTATGTAAATGGTACCCACAACACAAGTGTGGAAATTAAAAATCTGGAAAAATTTAAAGACTACGAGTTTAAGATTTTAGCATTTACTTCCGTTGGAGAAAGTGTGACAACCGAAATTGTTATTGCAAGAACTGATGAAGACAGTATGTATAATTTTGATTCGCAGAAGGTTTTGCTAAACCGGTACTTCAGTCTACTGCTGTAGCAACACTGAAACAACGAGGGACCTCTCGGACCTCTAGTTCAGTCCAGCCCCCCCCTGCAGCAACACTGGATCAACAAGAGATGATCCCTACTGGATCTCTAGGAAGAACAGTTCAGAACTGATAGAGCTATCCAGTATAAATAAAATTAGTTTAGTTTAGGTTTCCTCCTGTAGTAACACTGGATCAATAAGAGATGATCCTTACTGGACCTCTAGGAAGAACAGTTTAGAACTGATAGAGCTATCCAGTATAAATAAAGTTAGTTTAGTTTAGGTTTCCTCCTGTGGTAACACTGGATCAATAAGAGATGATCCTTACTGGACCCCTAGGAAGAACAGTTTAGAACTGATAGAGCTATCCAGTATAAATAAAGTTAGTTTAGTTTAGGTTTCCTCCTGTAGTAACACTGGATCAATAAGAGATGATCCTTACTGGACCTCTAAGAAGAACAGTTTAGAACTGATAGAGCTATCCATTATAAATAAAGTTAGTTTAGTTTAGGTTTCCTCCTGTAGTAACACTGGATCAATACGAGATGATCCTTACTGGACCTCTAGGGAGAACAGTTTAGAACGGATAGAGCTATCCAATATAAATAAAGTTAGTTTAGTTTAGGTTTCCTCCTGTAGTAACACTGGA